AAGATGCGCTGGCATCCCAAGATTATACATAGTGAATTTAAACTTTCTTGCTCTAATAGTTCCTGATATATCAGTGATTTTAGTTTTTCGTGAGTTGTGGGCGTTAGTGTAGGCATGGCCGGATGAAAACTCGTAGCAAGTTGCAGTGGCATCTTTTAAATACGTATTCTCAAGCCTAACTTTCTAGCGCTTCTAGGTCCCGAGATTTTTGCATGTTTCGGTTTTCCGGGTTTTGTGGGCGTTAGAGTGGGCGTGGCTAGATGAAAGAAAAACCATTCAAATTTGGGGCATCATAAAAACCGACATGCTTAATCCCAACTTTCTACCACTTATAGTTACTGAGGCACCATCCGTTCTACAAAATTCGAAAACCTTCTTTCGAGGCCGGATAATGGTACCACCATAAGATGCGCTGGCATCCCAAGAATATACATAGTTAATTTCAACTTTTTAGCTCTAATGGTTCCCGAGATTTTAGCGATTTTAGTTCTTCGTGATTTTGGGCGTTTGAGTAGGCATGGCCGGATGAAAACTCGTGGCAAGTTGCAGTGGCATCTCCAAGAAAAGTATTCTTAAGCCTAACTTTCTAGCGCTTCTAGCTTCCGAGATATTTGCATGTTTGGTTTTCCGGGTTTTGTGGGCGTTAGGGTGGGCGTGGCTAGATGGAAGAAAAACCATTCGAATTTTGGGCATCATAAAAACCGACATGCTTAATCCCAACTTTCTACCACTTATAGTTACTGAGACATCATCCTTTCTACAAAATGCGAATACCTTCTTTCTAAGCCGGATAATGGTACCACTATAAGATGCGATGGCATCCCAAGATTATACATAGTTATTTTAAATTTTAAGCTCTAATGGTTCCCGAGATTTCAGCGATTTTAGTTTTTCGTGATTTGTGAGCGTTTGAGTAGGCATGGCCGGATGAAAACTCGTGGCAAGTTGCAGAACATCTCCAAAAAAGTATTGTTAAGCCTAACTTTCTAGCGCTTCTATGCCCCGAGATTTTTGCATGTTTGGTTTTCCGTGTTTTTCGGGTTTTGTGGGCGTTAGGGTGGGCGTGGCTTGATGGAAGAAAAAGCATTCGAATTTGGGGCATCAAAAAAAACGACATGCTTAATCCCAACTTTCTACCACTTATAGTTACTGAGACACCATCCGTTCTACAAAATGCGAAAACCTTCTTTCGAGGCCGGGTAATGGTACCACCATAAGATGCGCTGGCATCCCAAGATTATACATAGTTAATTTAAATTTTTAGCTCTAATGGTTCCCGAGATTTCAGCGATTTTAGTTTTTCGTGATTTGTGAGCGTTTGAGTAGGCATAGCCGGATGAAAACTCGTGGCAAGTTGCAGAACATCTCCAAAAAAGTATTGTTAAGCCAAACTTTCTAGCGCTTCTATGTCCCGAGATTTTTGCATGTTTGGTTTTCCGTGTTTTTCGGGTTTTGTGGGCGTTAGGGTGGGCGTGGCTTGATGGAAGAAAAAGCATTCGAATTTGGGGCATCATAAAAAACGACATGCTTAATCCCAACTTTCTACCACTTATAGTTACTGAGACACCATCCGTTCTACAAAATGCGAAAACCTTCTTTCGAGGCCGTATAATGGTACCACCATAAGATGCGCTGGCATCCCAAGATTATACATAGTTAATTTCAACTTTTTAGCTCTAATGGTTCCCGAGATTTTAGCGATTTTAGTTCTTCGTGATTTTGGGCGTTTGAGTAGGCATGGCCGGATGAAAACTCATGGCAAGTTGCAGTGGCATCTCCAAGAAAAGTATTCTTAAGCCTAACTTTCTAGCGCTTCTAGCTCCCGAGAAATTTGCATGTTTGGTTTTCCGGGTTTTGTGGGCGTTAGGGTGGGCGTGGCTAGATGGAAGAAAAACCATTCGAATTTGGGGCATCATAAAAACCGACATGCTTAACCCCAACTTTCTACCACTTATAGTTACTGAGACATCATCCTTTCTACAAAATGCGAATACCTTCTTTCGAGGCCGGATAATGGTACCACTATAAGATGCGATGGCAAATTGCAGAGCGTCTCCAAAAAAGTATTCTTAAGCCTAACTTTCTAGCGCTTCTATGTCCCGAGATTTTTGCATGTTTGGTTTTCCGGGTTTTTCGGGTTTTGTTGGCGTTAGGGTGGGTGTGGCTTGATGGAAGAAAAAGCATTCGAATTTGGGGCATCATAAAAACCTACATGCTTAATCCCAACTTTCTACCACTTATAATTACTGAGACATCATCTTTTCTACAAAATGCGAATACCTTCCTTCGAGGCCAGATAATGGTACCACTATAAGATGCGCTGGCATCCCAAGATTATACATAGTTAATTTCAACTTTTTAGCTCTAATGGTTCCCGAGATTTCAGCGAGTTCTTCGTGATTTGTGAGCGTTGGAGTAGGCATGGCCGAATGAAAACTCGTGGCAAGTTGCAGTGGAATCTCTAAAAAAAGTATTCTCAATCCTAACTTTCTAGCGCTTCTAAGTGCCGAGATTTTTGCATGTTTTATTTCCGGGTTTTCCGGGTTAGGGTGGGCGTGGCTAGATGCAAGAAAAACCATTCGCGTTAGGGTGGGCGTGGCTAGATGGAAGAAAAACCATTCGCGTTTGGGGCATCATAAAAACCTACATGCTTAATCCCAACTTTCTACCACCTATAGTTACTGAGAAATCATCCTTTCTACAAAATTCGAAAACCTTCTTTCGAGGCCGGATAATGGTACCACCATAAGATGCGCAGGCATCCCAAGAGTATACATAGTTTTAGTTTTTCGTGATTTGTGGGCGTTAGAGTAGGCATGGCCGGATGAAAACTTTTGGCAAGTTGCAAAGGAATCTCTTAAATCTTGCGAGAGATGACGCGAGGCCCTTTGGGTCCGACGCGTGAGAGATGCAAATCCTCTGTGGGACTCTTGCGAGAGATGACGCGAGGTCCTTTGGGTCCGACGCGTGAGAGATGCAAAGCCCCTGTGGGACTCTTGCGAGAGATGACGCGAGTCCCTTGGGGTCCGACGAGTGAGAAATGCAAAGCCCTGGTGAGGCTGTTGCGAGAGTGCCGGCAGTGATCCAGTGGATCTGCTGCGGGCGAGCATCGGCGAGCGGCCGATGGCAGTGCTCCCTCGGTATGACCGAGGTCGAATGTATTAGATTTAGCCCTAGGCTAAATCATATTGGCGTCATACCAACTTGTAGCCCTAGGCTAAATCATATTGGCGTCATACCAACTTTTTTTTTTTTCGGCGTCCCGTGCCGGTATTACCTTTGCCGTCTTTGCTGCTCGCTGCATCTGGGAGCTGTGCTCCCTGAATCTTTTCTTGAATCGTTCAAATCTGTCCATTCCGTCTGTAATGATGAGAACGAAAGGTGGGTTACTAGAGTTATTGGGGTCGGCTTCGGAAGGGTTAGTGTTAACATTATGACATTCTTTTAAGTCCCCCACGTATGCCCGTTTCGTATTCATACCCCCTTGTTTTCTTAATTCCGCGATTACCGGCGAGATAAATCCCCGTACCTCCCATGGCCCGTTGTATTTCGGTGCCAGCTTCTCGTTGAACTTTTCTGTCGCGTTCGATTGGAAGTGTGTTCTGCACCACTCCAATTGCCCTATGCTGGGCTTCCATACCCTTTTTCGCAAGTCGAAGTGCCGTTTCTGGTTTTCCGCTGCGTCTTCCATGTTCCTGTACGCTTCCGACCTGGTATCCTTCAATCTTTTCCATCTGCCTGGGATTGATTCTATAACAAAGCCGGAGCCTTCCGTGACGAACAGAGCTCCGGTCAGACGCAACTCTTTTCTATAGAGCAATTGTGCCGGGCTATAATCGGTTGACTCCGAGATGCTGCTGTTATACGCTAGCATTAACTCTGGCAGGTTCTCGTCCCATTTGGATTGTTCCTCTCCTGTCAACTTCGCTATCATGGTCTTCACTGTGCGTGGTTCTGTTGTGGTGTGTACGGTGCAGTGAACTGCTGCCTTATTCCCCAGCGCTCCATGGCTGTCTTGGTCTTCCTTCCGGTGAATTGCACGCCATTGTCTGATATTAGGGTCTTCGTTGCTCCAACCCTTGCTATGACCTTTTCCCGAAATAACTTCGACGACACTGCAGAAGGGATACCAAACCGAGTAAACAACTGGGCCACAGGCATCCGGCCGGGAACTGCTGACCTAAGGAGTTTCGCAACATCTACATGTGTACCCCACTCCCAAGTTAGGTTTCATTTTTGTGTACTCAGAACAGAAAAAAGGCAGTCGAAGAGAGACACTCAAGCGAAGCAGTTTACCTTTATTCCATTGGAATATAATATCATATCACTTAAATCTATAACACCGTGACCAGCCGACTCCGGACCACAGACATAATTCGCGCGCCTTCACGAAGTTCATGATGTCCCTCCTCTTACCAGGCCAGAAATACTGCTTTGTGATCCTCCTGAGTGTCTTAAAAGTTCCTAGGTGGCCTGCCGTCTTTTGGCAATGGTTCTCGCTTAACACCGATTGTACTTTTTCTCTGGTGATGAACAGTTTCCAGTGGTTAGGGTCTACCTTCTTGGTGCCCTGCTTATACAATCGGCCTCCCTCGAGAGGGAGGAAGTCCGGGCAAGTCAGCACTGCCACCCGCGTTAAGCTGGTCTTTATTCGTTCGAATGAGTCTTGGTGCGGGGTTGCCAGTCGAATTTTTTCCCCTTTCTTATCAGTTCCTGGAGCGGGTCCGCCTGTTCTTAGAAACCCGGAATAAATTTCCTGTACCATGACGCCATTCCCAAAAAGCAGTGGACCTCCTTTGTTGTGCTTGGCGTCGGTAACTCCCTTATGGCTGCTACCTTGTCCGGGTCCGTCCGTATCCCTTGATCGGTCACGATGTATTCCAGATATGTCAGCTCTTTTTGGAAGAAATGGCATTTTTAAGTTTGCCTCTTGGAGCCTCCTGAATACCTCCTGGAGCTTCTCCAGGTGCTCCCGTTTATTCCTTTCAATTACCACGATGTCATCCAGATATGCGAACGCGAACGGCTCCATTTCTGGCCCTATGATGGTATCCAGGGCTCACTGGAATGTTGCCGGTGCCGTAGTAAGTCTGGATCTCCTTGTCGGATGGCTCCGTTTTTACCACAACTTCTTCCTGTTGTTTCCGTCTTAGATCCTCCTGAGGCTCTCTGATGGCTATTTCCTGGTGGCCGCATCGTATTTTAGTTCCTATTCTTGCCAATAAGTCCATCCCCAGCAGCGTTCCTCCTGTTACGTGGTCCACGATTAAGAAACTTAGCTCGAATCGCTCGCTCCCGACCCGAACGAACGCGGTGAAGTTCCCCACGACCTTCTGTCTTGTCCCGTTTGCCAGGGTTATTTCCTCCCCCGCCTCGTTCCACCTACCCTGCTTCCTTAAGATTTCCTGTCGATTACGCTTCTTGACGCCCCGGTGTCTACTATTCCCTTCGCCCTCCTTGTTTCGATTTTTACCTCTAGCATCACCTGAAATCCATCGTAGCTTATTGACTCTCCTCCCGCGGGTCCTTGTGTTTGGTCTTAAGCTGCCAGCGACTCCTGTTCAAGTCTCCTGCGTTATCCCGACCGGGCTCTACAACACTCCGTTGTTCTCTTCTCGTTCCTTCCGCATACCCAACAGAATAGCCTAGGCGGATTTCCGCATGCTCTCGTGGCATGTCCTGTTCCTCCACATCTCATACAGATTTCTGGCCGATTTCTTCCGGTTGTACCTGTCTTTCTGCCGCCTCAACTTCCTCCACTTCTTCTGCCAGTGTTAGGAACTCCGTTAGAGACGAAAAGCCTGATCTTCGTTCATACAGCTTTATCTTACTCCGACAGTTCTTGTAGATCCTATCCATCTTTTCCTCCTCCGAGTAGTCGGGGAATCTCAACAGCTTTCTCAGCTCCATCGCGTATGTTCGTGTTGGTTCTCCCTCCTTTTGTCGTAGTTGTCCGATTTGTACATCCAATTGCTTCTGATACCTTGGCGGTAGGAAGTACTCTCGAAGTTTCCTCCTCAGCTCCTCCCATGTCCTCACCCGACTCGGCGCCGTATTCCACCAGTCCTCTGCGGCGCCTTCTAGGATAAATGGCATCGCTTGTACCAATGCATTCTTGTTTATGCCACATCCTTTGGCCCATTCCTCCATTTTGCCTAGAAACTCCAGTGGGTTGGATGTGCCATGGTACCGTATTCCCGAACTTCGCACTCTGTCTGGGGTTTCCACTTTCATCCTGTCTCCGTGTCCTGTCATCGTGTTCCGTGCTTCCGCTTTCGTGGCCATCTTTTTGCTTCCCGGCTCGACCTGGACTCCTCTACCCGGTATTATTTCCCTTGATCCTCCGCTTGGGTCTACGCCGAACTTACTCGCCTATTCTACCAGCTCTGCTTTCGTAGCTTGGTATACCCAGCTCGACATTACTCTCTTAGTGTCCTTCTTCCTGCAACCACTTCAATCTGTTCGGCGCCATGTAACGGTCCTGCTTTGGGGTGGCTGGGACAGTTCACCGGATACCACCAGTTCGTTTGAACATTTAGTTTAAAGTCAGGCGTGGTTGCTGAAAAGAAGATTCCACCCAGAGTATGACAAAGCTTGTTTTGTTAAGGATAGAACAGATTTTAGTTGTTTATTTCATATCCCTGTTGATTAACAGGGATCGGCTGGTCTTCGCTGTGGGCGGGCTTCCGATGCTCCGAGGTGTGCCGTGGGGGAGCCCTTTGGGTCTGACGCGTAAGAGATGCAAAGCCCCTGTGGGACTCTTGCGAGAGATGACGCGAGTCCCTTGGGGTCTGACGCTTGAGAAATGCAAAGCCCTGGCTGGCGGCTGTTGCGAGAGTGCCGGCAGTGATCCAGTGGATCTGCTGTGGGCGAGCGGCCGATGGCAGTGCTCCCTCGGTATGACCGATGTCGAATGTAATAGATTTAGCCCTACGCTAAATCCGACCAAAAGTGTCTAATGCTGGTCAGGATGCCCAACTGCGAGAGAGGGCTGATCTTACCTGAGCGATATTCACCGCCAAAATGACTCTTCCAAGAAACCGGTCCTTCTTATATACCCCGTGGCTGAAATCAGTGTGCCCGTTCCCGGAAATCCCTTCGTGGGGTGTGCCCGTTTGTTTGGCCCGGCAGTGTGACCGTCCGTTGTTACCATGGCGCGCCCGCGCATTCTAATTCAAAATTATGTTTTATTCTTAACTAATAATCGTAAAAAATCTGGTACTTCAGGTTTCTTCTTACAACTACAAAACAACCTATAACTATTGACTTCATGATTTCCCCTAACGCTATCCTTTATTCCCTAATCTTATTAACTATCCATTTTTATGCGCCTCCTTGGGCGTCATAAGCTTTTCTACAAAATGCGAAAACCTTCTTTAGAGCTTGGTGGGCGTAGGAGTGGGTGGAGCCGGATAATTTTACCACTACAAGATACGCTGGCATCCCAAGATTATAAATAGTAAATTTCAACTTCCTTGCTCTAAAAGTTCCTGAGATATCAGCGATTTTAGTTCTTCGTGATATGTAAGCGTTTGAGTAGGCATGGCCGGATGAAAACTCTCGGCAAGTTGTAGTGGCATCTCTAAAAAAAGTATTCTTATGCTTCACCTTCTAGCGCTTCTAGGTGCCTAGATTTTTGCATGTTATATTTCCGGGTTTTCCGGGTTTTGTGGGCGTTAGGGTGGGCGTGGCTAGATGGAAGAAAAACCATTCGCATTTGGGGCATCATAAAAACCGACATGCTTAATCCCAACATTCTACCACTTATAGTTACTGAGAAATCATCTTTTCAACAAAATGCGAATACCTTCTTTCGAGGCCGGATAATGGTACCACCATAGGATGCGCTGGCATACCAAGATTATACATAGCTAATTTCAACTTTTTAGCTCTAATGGTTCCCGAGATTTCAGCGATTTTAATTTTTCGTGATTTGTGAGCGTTTGAGTAGGCATGGCTGAATGAAACCTCGTGGCAAGTTGCAGAGCATCTCCAAAAAAGTATTCTTAAGCCTAACTTTCTAGCGCTTCTATGTCCCGAGATTTTTGCATGTTTGGCTTTCCGGGTTTTCCGGGTTTTGTGGGCGTTAGGGTGGGCGTGGCTAGATGGAAGAAAAACCATTCAAATTTGGGGCATCATAAAAACCGACATGCTTTATCCCAACTTTCTACCACTTATAGTTACTGAGACATCATCTTTTCTACAAAATGCGAAGACCTTCTTTCGAGGCCGGATAATGGTACCACCATAAGATGCGCTGGCATCCCAAGATAATACATAGTTTATTTCAACTTTCTAGCTCTAATGGTTCCTAAGATTTCAGCGATTTAAGTTCTTCGTGATTTGTGAGCGTTTGAGTAGGCATGGCCGGATGAAAACTCTCGGCAAGTTGTAGTGGCATCTCTAAAAAAGTATTCTTATGCTTAACTTTCTAGCGCTTCTAGGTGCCTAGATTTTTGCATGTTTTTTTCCGGGTTTTCCGGGTTTTGTGGGCGTTAGGGTGGGCGTGGCTAGATGGAAAAAAACCATTCGAATTTGGGGCATCATAAAAACCGACATGCTTAATCCCAACTTTCTACCACTTATAGTTACTGAGACATCATCTTTTCTACAAAATGCGAAGACCTTCTTTCGAGGCCGGATAATGGTACCACCAGAAGATGCGCTGGCATGCCAAAATTATACATAGCTTATTTCAACTTTTTAGCTCTAATGGTTCCCGAGATTTCAGTGATTTTAGTTCTTCGTGATTTGTAAGCGTTTGAGTAGGCATGGCCGGATGAAAACTCTCGGCAAGTTGTAGTGGCATCTCTAAAAAAGTATTCTTATGCTTAACTTTCTAGCGCTTCTAGGTGCCTAGATTTTTGCATGTTTTTTTTCCGGGTTTTCCGGGTTTTGTGGGCTTAAGGATGGGCGTAGATTGATGGAAGAAAAACGTTGTGAGCGTTTGAGTAGGCATGGCCGGATGAAAACTCGTGGCAAGTTGCAGTGGCATCTCCAAGAAAAGTATTCTTAAGCCTAACTTTCTAGCTCTTCTAGCTCCCGAGATATTTGCCTGTTTGGTTTTTCGGGTTTTGTGGGCGTTAGGGTGGGCGTGGCTAGATGGAATAAAAACCATTCGAATTTGGGGCATTATATAAACCAACATGCTTAATCCCAACTTTCTATCACTTATAGATACTGAGATATCATCTTTTCTACAATTTCCGAAAACCTTCTGTCGAGCTTTCTACCACTTATAGGTACAGAGACATCATAATAAGCTTGGTGGGCGTAGGAGTGGGTGGGGCCGGATAAAGACACGAGAAATCACACGACATTGTCTTCTT